AGTAGCCCAGCATGGCCAGCATGGCGCGGTAGCCGCCTCCGCTCCCTCCAAAGGCCACGACGGGGACATCGTCCGGGTGGACCTGCTCCGGGTCCAGACCGATGTATCGGGCAAAATGATCGCGGACGCGCAGTTTCCGCTGCGCGAGGTAGGCCTTCTCGCCCTCGCAGAGATCGAGACCCCGTCGCACTTCTACTACCTGTCTGATTTCCGGGTGCCGATTGGCGTCGTGGAGGTCCTTGGCGATGAGGGTCTCGGTGGTGAAGACGTCTTTGATGAGGCCAAGGTCTGCGATTGCTTCAGGAAAGGCCGGCTTGACCTTCTGGTTCCAGAATCCTTTGAGCTTGCCCTTCAAGCTGAATTTATGCGGATGCTTCTCGTCGTCGTCATCCTCGGTGTCGTCGACCGCCTCTTGCGGAGGGACCCGGTGCTGGAACTCCCAGAGCTCCCGTTCATATTCACGTTGTTCGCGGGTTTCGGACAGGCGAGGATTCCCACTGCCAAGAGTGGTTGATTAGGTGGATGCGAGGTCATAGTATAATTATAATATAGGCTGTACAGCCAGACAGACAGCTTACATTATATGGTCACGCATGATGGAGTCTCCAGTTGATGCTTAGATCTGATCGGCCACACACAATGGCGTCTCTCATCGAGGAGAGAGCATGAACGCCATGAAGTGTCACAGAAGTGACGTCGAACGCGGCTGAAGACGCCATCTCAGCTGCAGTCCTCACCCCGCCGTGGAGGCTGAGAAGATGAATTGACAACTTGCACGCAGCACGCCTTGTCGGCAGCGATTGCGATTGGCCGTGGCTGCATAGAACACACATTGGCCAATGAGACTCGCACAATCACGTGAGACGCACGTGAGATGCCAATTCCGTTGCTCGCTGCTTAGTCATCCAGTCGCGATGACGTCGAGCATCATTGCCCAAGAGAGAAAGAAGCAGAAGAGTCGCGATCAAGGATTGCCAGCTGAGATGGCCTTGTTTCTCTGTCATTCTGCGTCGGTATTGACATAGGAGGCTCAGCATCCCGCAAATCAGGTCCCTGGGCGAGTGGATCCTGTCAGGAACGCAGCTGTCAACTGTCTTCTACATCGCCTGGTAACTTTCGGCCGAAACCCGTGGTGACGGTCTATATCTATGTGAGATGACGCCCCCGTTAGTTTTTTGACGATTCTTTGCTGGATATTTTTATCGTCTGATTATCTTCGCGTCAATATGAAAGATGTCGTCCGATAATTCCTCCAATTCGACTTTTTCGCCAGAGAAAGAAGAAACGGCGAACAATCCAGCCGTCACCAAACCGGCGGATTGTGCTCGAGCTGCACAACAAAGCTCTTCATCGTGCAGCACTGCGCCAGATGCTCTTGATACGCAGAAGGACAGTCCCCGCTCTGATGGGCCCAAGTCTGGTCATGAGGGTTATTCCCACCTCACCAAGTACGATGTCGGGTGGCGACGCGTGGTGAGGCATTTCAGTCCATCGTACGTGACCAATTCAGACTCTGGCTAGTTATGGACTGCTGACGCTTGCTTAGGTGGTTTTCTGTTACCATGGGCACGGGTATCGTCGCCGTGCTTTTGAACAGCATCCCATTCAAGGCCCACTGGCTGTACTACCTCTCGATCATATTTTTCATCCTGAACGCCGTCCTGTTTGCGTCAGCCCTATGCATTTCAATTCTGCGATACTCACTGTATCCGGAGATATGGTTTGCGATGATTCGGGACCCGGTGAACTCGCTCTTCCTGGGGACCATGCCCATGGGGTTAGCCACCCTTGTCGAGATGTGGGTTTTTGTCTGTGTCCCGTCGTGGGGGCGCTGGGCGAAAATCGTCGCGTGGGTGCTTTGGATGATTGACGCCGTTATTGCCGTCGCAGTGACTGTTTTCCTTTCGTTTTTGCTGTCAGTGCGAATAGCAACACGTCCAGTATTAAGCACAAATTTGCTAACTTCCAGAACAGTGTCTCCCGTGATTATATCAAGTCGCTGGACAAGATTACTGCGGCGCAGCTGCTGCCGATTGCTGCTACTATCGTTTCAGCAGGATTGGGTTCCGAGGTTGCGGCGGTTCTAGATAACAGCCAACATGCCCTGGGGACGATCATGACTTGCTACGTGCTCTGGGGAATGGGTGTCCCGCTCGCAGTGGCTGTCCTGGTCATGTATTATCAGCGCCTCGCCGTCCACAAGTTGCCGCCCAGGGAGGTGATTGTGAGCAGCTTTCTCCCTCTGGGTCCGCTGGGGTTTGGTGGATTTGGGTATGGTTTCCCTCGTTGCTTTTGAGTAGTTGTAATTGTAGCTGACCTCTATGTAGCATCATGTACCTGGGCAAAGTGAGTCGGAACGTTTTCCAAGAGACCAACACTCTGGACCCGATTGCCGGCAGTGTCCTCTACGTTCTCGGATTTTTCATTGCGACCATAATGTGGGGATTTGGGCTGATCTGGTTCTGTCTGGCGATCGCTTCCATCTACCAGAGCCGGCCCTTCCCATTCAACATGGGCTGGTGGGGGTTTACCTTTCCTCTGGGCGTGTTTTCAGCCAGCACGATCCAGATTGGGAACGAGATGCCGTCGAAGTTCTTCAAGGTCCTGGGCACGGTAAGTCTGGCCGTGCTAACTAACAAGCCGAATTATCTATCTCAATGACGCTGATTGGTGTATGTACATTCCAGGTCTTTGCCACGTCTGTTATCCTGCTCTGGATATTTGTTGCTACGCGAACCGTCAAGGGGGCGTGGTCTGGCAAGCTTTTCTATGCTCCGTGTGTGGCGGGTCTCAAACCGAAGGAGGAAATTACCAACGACTTGGCGAGCAAGGCGTGAGACTAGATTGACTGCTCTAGGATTATGCCTCATACAACGAGAGTTGAGTCTGAGGATTTCCCTGAGGATCACCCTTGATGGGATTTCGACTATCCGAGATGTCAGGGTCTCAGCATGTCTACTGCCCAGCCGGCAGCATCACGATTTGAGGATTATTCCTTTCTTATCCAGTGGGGTCTGGCCGCAGACATGCTCGAGTGGACATGGCGGGAGAATAAGACCGTGTCTAAGGCCGATATCCTCCTTGACGCAGGTGAAGCAGTGAGGGAACGGTACCAGGCAGTCTAGCAGGATTGATAATCCCGAAGGACTCAGGACTCAACGATGCTTGAACCAAGCATTAATATTTGGGCAGTCTTTTTCAGATCCAATGTGATTATGGATCATTATCCTGCCGTTTTTGATAAGGCTCGCCAGCGCGAGCAGCAAACAAACATAATCATGAGCTGCATCTAACGAAACCCATTTGCTAGTTCAGCATGTAGGTGCACTGTTCAATGAACCCTTTGTGTTGGATGATTGCTATGACGTCATCAGATTTGTCATCACGAACGGTTTCCAAGAATGGAAATTATCTTATCGTAACCTTAACTTTCTTAATGTTGAACAGTATCTGTAGGCTGCTCTGCTAACTAACATGAGCTACATTTTTTTTCTTAAAGTTTGCTTGTTTGAGAAGTTGCGATCGATCATGTCAAGGCCGGTAGCGTAAGTAATGATCAAGCTGAATTTAATATTAATATGGGGACTATGTATGATCCCAGACAAGGCGTGTAAGAGCTGTCAGCTATCAGCATGCATAGAAATAGAAAAGGAGGAAGAAAAAAAAGAAAAGTAAAGAATCCTACAGCAGGGAAGGGCGTCTTTGCGGGCTGGCTGGTTACTATATAGATAGATTGTTAGACATTGTCCACCAGGGGAGAGGATTCTTTCTTTCTTCAGCTATGTCCCTGCTTCTGCTGATGACAGGTGCTGGGTATCAGAAACCTGAAAGGTAGATCCAAGAAAGGTCATTGCTATATACATGGAAGTACATTATATGTTGTAGGGGGAAGTCCACCCCCTATTATCATGTGATCTGCTGTATGAAGTTGTCCTTGCGGGTATGCTGCCTGGGGGAACCATCCTTCCTACACACAACTCAGTCGCCTTCTTCCAGTCAGTCAGACAACCTCGTTCTTCAATCATGATACTTCAGCCGCGGCATCGTCATTAGGTGCCTACGCCGTGCCCTGTGCTGCTATTAAGCCATTCTCGCCCATTAGCCTGCTTCAACGAGGTATTTCATCACCACATTGTGTTGGAGTTACACAGCAATGTTGTTCAGCGAGCAGACGGGAAATTCTCCGGTTACGCGGTTCCATCTGGGTATGTACTACTCTACAGTACTACTGTACAGCACTCTTGCATGTGATACTGTACTGTCTGTATACACACTGACGCTGTAGATTCATGCTATTCGTTATGAAAATATGGGTTTCATACTATCGACTTAAATTCGTCCAGCCTGAACCAGATATCCTATGCGTGGATACATTTATCACAAATTAAGTCCCCCGGCCACATGTTTGTACCTGTCCTCTGATAGATACACGTCCCTCTCCTCAACCGTCTGCAGTTCCTGGCGGATATAAATCCTGCCCGGAGCCGGAACAGGTGCGCTGGAGTCGCCATCTTCGATGCGGGCGTACATTCACTCGCGGTCCTGGTCCCGATCCCGATCTGGGTCCGGCCCCGAGGCCGATGTGTGCAGCGTGGGCCGGTCGAGACTGTTGATCTGACTCAATGGAACTCCGAAGGAGACAGGAATGACGCCAGGCCGGCGTGTTTGTCCTTGTCCTTGTCCTTGGATTGCATCGCGGGAAACAATAACAACCCGTTCCGCGCGGACGAGAGACGCGAGCGCAGCTGTCGTTTTTCGTGTAAAGCTGCCGGAACGAGGCGAGACTGGCGACGATGATGGCTAGCTCTAGTCAGCAAGTGTCGACTCGACCCGACTCGACTGGGCAGACCTACCGACAGCAGTCTCGATGAAGCTCCACAGCCACAGCCAGGTGATGTCTTCGTTGCGGGTGGGGCTAGCGACGACGGCGACGCGGATGATGGCAAACACCATGATGAGCACGGTCAGCGAGAGCAAGCCCATCAGGGCTGCTTTTTGGCGCCAGGGGATTTTGATGTGCCAGAGGAGGCACACGGGGATAGAGGTGACTGGGGTTGCGTATCCTGTCAGCCCATGCCGTCACAGCGTGGCCACGCGTACATCCTGAAAATGTCGCTGGCGACATCGAACACGGTAGCGGTAACCAAGGTCTGGAACTGGAAGAGCACCGCCGGGTGCTTGTTGCAGTTTTCTGGCGGCGCAGGTCAGCATCTCTCTGCTCTAGGTATGTACTTTCTGCTCAGGACACGCACGGTAGATCCACGTCTGGCTGTTTAGCAGACACGCATAATCCTCATTACCGACACAGATCACCAGGCTGGCGATGGCGAAGGCCAGGACGCACCACACCCAGATGCGGTACGGCGGCAGGTTGGCACCGATGCGCCAGAAGAAGACCAAACAGGAGAACTTGATGGACAACAGGCAGGTGTAGAACAAACACGGCAGCGACCTCGGTGCGCATGAAGCGGGCGTTCGTCTCCAGCGCCTGCGGGGTGGGCGTCAGCGCGCCGATGGGGAGCTGGAACGGCGCGTACATGGCGTCCAGCTGCGTCAGCCAGATGATGGCCTGGGTGAGCAGGATGAGCCACGCAGCCGCGGTGAGGAAGTCGTCGACAAAGAAGCGACCGAAGGAGTGGATGCGGATGAAGAGGCGGAGAGCGAGGAAGAGACATGTCAGTGCTGCGGCGGCCCAGATGACGCCCTGAAGAATTGTTAACGCGGTCACAATTCTGCGAGATATATAAGATCTGGACTAGACGTACAATGAACACAGAACTCTTGACCCGGGCCGGCTCCGTTATCCAGTTGACCATGATGCTCCTGCCTCGGCAGAAGGGAATGTGCTCGATCAGTCGAGGTGATGCGGGGAAGTCAATATCTCACAGATATCTAGCCGTCATGGAGGTGGGGTTTGGGGGAGCGCTTTATCTGAATCGAGGAATTTCTATATATGGCGCCGGACAGCCTAGAACCTGGAATACAGGCCGAAATGCCCTGCGGCGCTGTGCTCTGCTCATGTCGTGGAAAATACAACACCCGGCGAGAAACGCGCAGCAGCAGCAGCAGCAGCAGCAGCAGAGCAAATGGCAGTGTAACCAACGTCGAGGGCGGGGCAAGCGTGCTGGTTGGATCAGATCGATAACATCCCTGCTAGCGGCCAACGCGATCTGCATCCTGCATGTCGGCGTCGGCGGATGGTTGGCCATGCGTGCACATGGCGATATTGACAGGCAGGGGTTATGGGGCCAAATGCAGGCTTCTGTGCCGCTGTCACAGAGGCGCCAGAAGGCCTAGTGTGTTTTTAAGCTGTTAACACTAAACGAATCCACCTTGGTTGCAGTCATGCTGGATAGTAATAGCAGGTCTTGGTGCCTCCAGGCAACGCAAGTTACTGCCGTGAAGGTGTGTTGAGTGCGTTTACTAGACTACATTCATGCTCAATATATTCTATGATGAACTGACCTCAGACAGCGATACTTAGCAAGGTGCTCCAGAAAGCACATAATCGAAACCTCATGCCTTGATTTACTACAACATATTAAGCTTGTACCTTTTAAAATTGAAATAGCATGCCTCTAACAATCCATCCATCGCTCCAATTGAGCAGCTCACGCATTCGACAGCGTGACATACAGATCGCACCCTGGCACCGGCCGCGATATGCCCAGCTCGCGGTACTAGTCGATGAGGGTGGAGATGACCCACGCCTCGTTCTTGCGCATCTCCTTGGGCAGTCGCTGGTAGATGCGAAAGGCTCGTGTGTATTGCGCCAGGAGAGTTTTCACCTCGCTGGCGTCGACCAGGCGCGACGGATGCAGGCACTTCCACAGCTCGTCGGTGAAAGTGCGCAGATTCGCCGTCATGAGCGGATCGATGGCGAAGAGCACCTGGTCAAACAGGGCCAGCTGGCTTGCGTTGATCATGGTGTGCAAGCACAGGTCGTACAGCGAGATGCGTCGTGTCTGCGAGGCCGTCGCCAGCCCGTATGCGGAGGACAGCTTCTCCCAGGACATCAGCTCCTTCAGCGCCGCCTGCAGCTTTGCGATCAGAACGTCGAACGTCGGGCCCGGCAGAAGATGCTGCTTGAACAGGTCTTCGGTCAGGTGGATGGGGTTCTTCCCTGCAGGATTGACTGCGCTCCGGGGTTTGCGTTTCCACAGCGTGTCCAGTCTGGCGGGATCGCAGCCGAAGCCGACCAGGACTTCGTCCAGGAATCCGTCCCAGGTCAGCGAGACGACATCAGCGAAGTACTTAGTCGTGTCTGGGGGCGATGTGATGACGTAGTAGTTCTCGCCAGCGATGGTCAGGCTGAACGGCTCTCGGGATCCCAGGCGTGCCCTATCGCATGTCAGCGCCAGACTATCTGGAGATAAGCTTGTGCGAATCTCGAAAGAAACTGCCTGGCTGGACGTGAGAATGCGCGAAACAAACGAAGAGATGCTCAACGGCACCTACCAAAGACTGTCCCTGATCGGCACGAAGCAAGGAAAACGAAGAAGATGACTCACAAGATATCCAGTAAGGAAGCTCCTTGGGCTCATCCGGCCTGAGCATCGGCTGGATGGTGAACCTCCAGATGCGCCACGACAGCCAGGCAGCCAGCAGCAAGATCGAGACCAGGAAGACGACGCTACGAACAGGACCGGCGTTCTCCCATTGAGCCTGGACTTCATTAGACAGGTATCTGAACGACTGAGACAGCATCGTGGTGGTCGACAGGAATCAAATTCATCAAAGAATTGCGTGTTATTCCTCTTCGAAAGAGGCTCGATGTCCGGGTCCTGGCAACTGCCCTGCTTTAATATAGCCATCACGCTGCCCTCGCGCTCTGGATCGAATATTCTTGCCGTGGCAATGCGTATTCCAAGCTAAGCTGTTGGGCCCCGACTGTCAACGCAACCAGCGCGAAGAGTTGGTGATCGTCAGTTGGTTCGAGAGCGTCGAACTGTAAGTATTCTGTACTGCCTCTATCGAATAGAACACTCCAATGATAGGAACCTGCATATCAGCTTGCATGGCTGTCAGTCGCGGGGAATGATCCCTGCAGACGCAGAGAGATCCCTGCAATGCCGGCGGCTTGTCTGGGATAGAATTCTCACCGGCGCCAGTTAATTAGGGCCGCCGTCTGTTCCATCGTTAGCGCTGGCAGACCTGGGCGATGCGCCGGTCTGGATGCATCGTCCTGAGTCCCTGACAAGGGACATCACAACAGCCGTTGCACGGCGCCTGGAAGCTGACAACGCTGCGCCGCGTTGGTACTTCATCCCGGCAGCTGAGTGTCCGGACAATTTTCGTCGCAACCGTATATACTGGACGACATAGATCGTATATAACGAACACCGCTCCATCAGATTGAATGGCTTTCTTCGCTTTCCGTTGACTTCTTAGGGCTGACGGCGGACAAAAAGCAAGCCGAAGCACCGACGGCCGGTCATCTCTCCGGATGGCGGCTGGCAGTCGTCATTCTGTCGCCGTTCCTGGGCGTGTTCCTGCTCTTACTCGATACCAGCATCATTGCTACCATAGTAACGGATTCTGTAATTGTATTAGTCTTTGGGGTTCTACCATATGCTTTTCTCATTCGAACTCACGCTCACTGGCACTATGGCAGAAGTGGCTCGCATCTGGATTAACCAGGCAAGAAACAGTCGAGAGAGAGAACAGAGTGAGAGTATTCAGGTGTTGTAATATATAGAGAAAAAAAAAAACTGCCGGGTTCACCTCACAGCTTGAGCACTCAAAAAGAAAAGACAATGCTGTTAGATTTACCAAACAATATTAGTGCTTAGAGGATTAACTTTCTCAAGTAAGAATAGGGCTTGACCAACTCCTGTAACTTAGGTAGGTTTATTATAGTTTTATTAATTCTAGGTTTACCTAGATCGATCGATCTTATATGCATAGGATTAGGTAGTCAGTTTTCTACACATCTGTGAACTACCCCTCTAGATCTAGGATATGTTATAGAATAATTAAAAAAAAAAAGAAGAAAGACACTCCTCACTGTTCCGAAAGGGAATTAATTATATTAAATATTAACAAAACTATTGCCTTAGTACTTTACATAGATACTATCCTAGCTATTACATTAAGGCTAGATTCTGTTCGTGGATGAGATATTATTATACTGTTCTGTCTATCCTAGCTAATGAAGAAATCTCTCCGTCTGCGATCCATATTTATTCAGGGATTTAGTTTCATTTACCATCCAATCTGATCTGAGTGAGATATACTTCCTGTTAGCCAGTCAAACCAAACTTTCTAGGGCTATCCTGCTGCGGGAAAGGATTCATTTTTAGCCAGTTTGCATATATTCTTTAGAAAAATAAAAATATAATTATAGCGTCCTCATGTCCGGCTTCTAGAACTCTCAATACTGCTTAAATACACTGACATATTAGTTGCATTATGCAAGATCGGTCATATACATCCTGGATGTACAATATTGTAAATAGCAGACAATCCCCGGCTTCTGTAAATGATGGATGTCTAACCCGAGTTAACTAATTCCGCCGTCACAACGTGGTCATCATTAATAACAATAACGTTAAATAATACCGCCTACTGACGAAAGTGTACCTAGATAGGTACGTATGAAGGAAACGGTCCCGGAATATATCCGACTGACTTTCCAATGAATTCGAAGACAATGCATTCTTTTTCTTTCTTTCGTACTCGAGTATTTGAGGTGGAATGCCGGAGAATACACCCTGAATGTTTATCCCGGAATGCCTACCTACTTACTAGCTTGTGTGTATGTGTATGTCATCATCAACACGGTGTATCTATGTCATCGTGACAGGCACTTTCATTGAAGAAAAACAACCCCACAACTAAGCTAACAGTGTGAAGGATACAAAAAACACGTCTTTTTAGCGCGTCATTCGGCTCAGAGAGGCCTCTGAGCCCCTAAAAACCACCATGGAACCTCCCGATCCCCATGGTGGTGGTGTTATTCACGCGTCACCCCCGGCAAACGGCCACGCGGCAAGCCAGCTCACGGAAATCCTGGAGAACCCTCGAAAGGCACTAGAATCCTAGGGAATAGCTGGATACGAGGTCAGGCCAGCAAGAGCCATGGGATTGTCAAGCCGCAACGACGAGCCACCCTGAGACCCCTAGGGGGTAAAGAAGTACTCTGGAACCCCCTAGGAGATATCAGCAAGCACCTCCAGGCCCTAGAAGGCAAGATGGAGCGAGCATTTGAAAAACAGGCCCAGAACCT